TCTATAAAATAATAATTGTAGTGGAATTAACACTTTACACTTCACAGGAACTTGAAAATATGCTAAAATGTATGTTTTTGAGGTTAGAAACGTTTGTTTACAACTATTTTATACATAGAGATAAGTGGTAAGCAGACGTTCCTAACCTTAAAAACATACATTTTAGCATATTTTCAAGTTTCTGTGAAGTGTAAAGTATTAATTTCACTACAATTATTTTACAGAATTCGTTTCAATTACATATATGTAGATAGAAAGTGTTTAAAATCCATTAAATTTTCAAAATATTGAAAAGAAAATGCCAAATTTATTTCTCCCATAAGAATTGCATTGCGTCGTCTGTTTGTTTTCCCTCCAGCTATCTGACGTCACACCTGAAATCGACTCTGACGTCACAACTGAAAAAGCCTAAAGGCCAACGCAGAATAGATCTGTAACCGGAACCGCAATCGTAAGCGTAACCGTAAGAATGAGTTAAAGAAGGATAGGTATATTGTTTATCCTTCTCTAACTCATTCTTACGCTTACGGTTACGATTGCGGTTCCGGTTACAGATCTATTCTGCGTTGGCCTTTATGAGGTCTGTTCTCGTTGCCTGCTTTTTCTTATGGCACGGTCACACCTCGGCTCCCTGCCTGCGCAGGTAGACGCCACGAGAGTAAGAGAAAGAGAACAAATAATTTGAATTGTCTGTCTTTTTCACTCTTATGTGTTATCATGACGATCTGCAGGCAAGCAGGCAGCCGAACTGTGGCCGTGCCATTACATGAGATAGAAAAGGGCGCAAAAATATATATCTGTCCTTTTCTAACACATACTAAGCGTTTGTGAACGACGTTCGCAAAGCAGTTGTGCTTAGGCCTTTACATTTCCTGCACTAGATGGGACTGCACCATAAGTCAGAGGAGTTCCCCATGCAATTTGATTAGACGAATTTTTATGGTGCTATTACTAAATTTGATTGGTTGTGATAATTAATCCATTTTTACTGACTCTGAAGTGAAAATGGAAGATTTCTCGTAGCCAATCAAATTTAATGATACGACCATGAAAATTCGTCGAGATTTAATCAATTTAGAACATGACTATTTGAACTACGGGGACTAAAAGGCCAATAACCAAATCAAACAAAATTGCTTGACCAAAATACCGGAGTTCCCCGTTTCTGAGTATATTCAGAAACGTGAAGCAGTTTTCTAAGTTGAAAACGAGTTTTCTATCTTGGAAGCCATTGGAAGTCATGCTAGAAAATTATTATTATGGCGGGATTATTTGAATGTCATATTTTCTACCAATCACAATTTATTACAATCTGACATTCAAATCATCCCGCCATAATAATAATTTTCTAGCACGACTTCCAATGGCTTCCAAGATAGAAAACTCGTTTTCAACTTAGAAAACTGCTTCACGTTTCTGAATATATTCATAAACGGGGAGTTAAACAAGCGCCTTAAAGAAGAATCCAAATAAGGGTGCGATCCCATGTGAGCAGAATACGTCGACCAAAAGCAGAAAATCATGAGAGTGAAAAAAACAACAATATCTATATATCTCTTTTGCACTCATGATTTTCTGCTTTAGGTCGACATATTCTGTTCACATGGGATCTCACCCTTCCTTCCCGGGACCCAGTTTGATGTGCAGAGACTGAGCATGGCACAAGATATTATTATTATATTATATACTATTATTGTTATTGCCCTACATATACTTTTAACCTTGTTACACTCACTGATCAACGCAAAACACAGCTTTTGAAAGTAAACATGTTAATACATCCTCATATTTAGCACCATATTGTGCTTTCTTTTATTCTAACGATGCTCATCTATTAGTGGGGGTCTAACAAATTAACTATTAAAAACTTTCATGTTCTTTGTTAGGTTGGATCTACATGTCAACGAAAAAATAAAAAACACGATGCGCAAACGCGAGACAAATCTAACACATCATCGAAACTTTTCTAAAAGTTGAAATTACCTTGAATGCAATGTTCGGAATCTTTAACTTTGGCTGCTTCGCAAAATAAACATTGTAAACGAACTCATTCACCCAAGATTAACAACCTCTCGATACGTTTCGTATTCTTTTTATTGGAGTGTCTTTGAGTCGGTAGTGTTTGTTGTGTTGTAAGAAGATTCCAGAAAGAAATGAATGTGACATGTCTGCTGATTTATGCGGTAAGTTTATTTTAATTCCTTTCTTATTAAAAACAGATATACGAACACAATACGCCGCCATGGGACTCCACCCCAGTAAAAAAAGAAGTATTGAGTGGAGCGTTTAGGAATTGAGTGAAGCTCTGAGCCAATACGGATTCGAGTAAAAACCGTATTGGGACGTTTGACTCAATCTTTTTTTCATCCGCCGAATACGGTCTTATTTTAGCATTAAAATTAAAATCACATGAGCAGAGTACACATTATAAATTGAAAGCACAGTTATCCTGGAATGTAAAAATGCCGATTTCGATAAGAAACAGTGAATATTTTTTTATTCTTTGTTAAAAATTGGTAAAAGCAAAATTTGATAAGCGCAACTGAATTTACCATGTGAATAAATGAAGTGGTAAGTTTAAATGGACTAAAAGAAATCTACTGTTACCGACAGAAAGTTCCTAGAGAATTGTAAAACAATGAAATTTCATTGTTTTGTTGAATTTACCACAATTCTCTAGGAACTTTCTGTCGGTAAAAGTAGATTTCTTTTAGTCCATTTAAACTTCCCACTTCATTTATTCACATGGTAAATTCAGTCGTGCTTGTCAAACTTTGCTTTTACCAATTTTTAACAAATATTCACTGTTTCTTATCGAAATAGGCATTTTTACATTCCAGGACAATTGTGCTTTCAATTTATAATGTGTACTCTGCTCATGTGATTTTAATTTTAATGCTAAAATAAGACCGTATTCGGCGGATGAAAAAAAGATTGAGTCAAACGTCCCAATACGGTTTTTACTCGAATCCGTATTGGCTCAGAGCTTCACTCAATTCCTAAACGCTCCACTCAATACTTCTTTTTTTACTGGGACCCTCACTGCAGGTTTTTGACATAAAATACCTGGTCAAAATATGGGATATTTTACTGAATAAAACCACGTAATTTACCTGATATATTTTACGCGCCCAACCCTGCGTTATGTTTATTTTATTTATTTATATTTATTCATCCAGTCGATGGTTTGACCAAAACACCAGAGGTATAGAAGCACCTTTATTATAGGTCTACCGAGATTTGCGAGAATTTTCTTGTAGAAGTACCATACAGCCATCACCTATGAGGCCGCAGTCCCATGACAGCGTTTTGCGTTGCGTCGTAATGGGAGAGAAAAAGACGCAAATATACGTTTGCTGCATTCACTCTTATTACAACGTAACGCAAAACGCTGCCATGGGACTCCAGCCTTATGCTGATTCCACACTTACCCAATCGCTCCGCTTTTCCGTGGCGCTTCGCGTGAGACAGAAAAAGATAGAGATAGTCTATGTCTTTTTCTATCTCACGCAAAGCGCCACGGAAAAGCGGAGCGCTGGGTAAGTGTGGAATCAGCATTAGGGTGTAGTCCCATGGATGGCAGCGTTTTGTAACTAGGCCATGAGGGTGGAGTCCCATGACAGCGTTATGCGTTGCGTCTTAATGGGAGAGAAAAAGACGCAAATATACGTTTGCTGCATTCTCTCTCATTACGACGCAACGCAAAAGCTGCCATGGGACTGCGGCCTGAGTGCAAATATAGCGAACGTATATCTCCATCTCATCTCTCTCACACGCATGGCCTAGTTACAAAACGCAACGCAAAACGATGCCATGGGACTTCAGCCTTAGGCTTTTTCAGTTGTGACGTCAGAGTCGATTTCAGGTGTGACGTCAGATAGCTGGAGGGATAACAAACAGACGACGCAATGCAATTCTTATGGGAGAAAAAAAATTTTGCATTTTCTTTTCAATGTTTTGCAAATTTAATGGATTTGGAACATTTTTTATCTACATATATGTAATTGAAACGCATTCTGTAAAATAATTGTAGTGAAATTAACACTTTACACTTCACAGAAACTTAAACGCTGCCATGGGACTTCAGCCTTAGGCTGAAGTCCCATGGCAGCGTTTTGCGTTGCGATTTGTAACTAGGCAATGAGTGTGAGAGAGATGAAGATATATGTTTGCTATATTTGCACTCATGGCCTAGTTACAAAACGCAACGCAAAACGCTGCCATGGGACTCCACCCTAAGGAGACCGAACGACATGTATTGAAAGTGGACCTGATTTCGGTTCCCTCTTAACATCGTGAAAACACCGAATGCAACACTAGCGCTACTCGCGGGAAAATGAAGAAATAAACTGCATTTTTTTAATAATCACATGCCAGTTTACTATTTACACTTGGCGAATAATAAATATTTATCACTATATTTGACTACGCTATAACCATACTACGCTGCACGTTGCTGCACATACATAATTGTAGGTTATATTATGAATTTCCATGACAGTTACCACTTTTCTCACAAGTAGCGCTAGTGTTGCATTCGGTGTTTTCACGATGCTAAGCGGGTACCAAAAAGTGGTACACTTTCAATACAGATTTCGCACGGTCGTTCGGTCTCCTTATACTACTCCATGGCTAAAATGTATGTTTTTGAGGTTAGGAACGATTGTTTACCCTTATTTTATACATTTTATACATAGAGATAATAGTGGTAAATAGACATTCCTAACCTTAAAAACATACAATTTAGCATATTTTTAAGTTTCTGTGATGATGTGTAAAGTGTTAATTTCACTACAATTATTTTACAGAATCCGTTTCAATTACATTTATGTAGATATAAAGTGTTTAAAATCCATTAAATTTGCAAAACATTGAAAAGAAAATGCAAAATTTTTTTCTCTTATAAGAATTGCTTTGCGTCGTCTGTTTGTTTTTCCTACAGCTATCTGACGTCATACTCGAACTCGAAATATCTCGATGTAGTGAAACAGCCTAATTGTCGCAGTTTGGATGTTTCACTCTATGTGGATAAACCTTAATGTTGAAGGTTGAACTAGTAACGATACACCGGAACGGCGGAACCGGAAACCTGTCTTTTCTGTCGAGTCATCAATGGAAGCCACATCCAGCTCATGCCAAATTATCGGAATTTTATTTTATTCCAAACAATTACATAGTGGTATGTAATTCATATTTTATGAAAATAGTGTTATTTGAAATTATATTTCGACAAATAGTTTTTTATTCATTATTTTAACAATCATAGTGTCCGACTATATAGATATAAAAAGTTAAAGATTCTGAAAATTTGGAAAATTCGTCCTTCATTTTATTTTCTGTTATTTTTGAATATTTTCGATATTACATCATAACAATTTTTAAAAGAAAAATGTTTATATAATTACAATTTCTATCAAAATTTTAATTTTTGTTTTTAAAAAAATGAATTCAATAAGATTCTTTTTTGAATTTGATAGGAACAATTGTTTTAGAGAATAAGTCTAATTCGATGAACTTTTCTTTGCAAGAATTGAATTTTTTGTAAATAATAAAATTTTTTGAAAGAATTCAATTATTTATTATACAATTTGTATGTAGTTCAGCGAAAAATTTAATTAGTGTTTTTAAAAAAAATTGTATTATATTAAAAAATTTTGATTAAATTCTTCGCAAAGAATTCTGAAACTAAATTGAAACTAAAAAGTCTAAACTAAAAAACTAACTTACTAAACTAAATTCTGATATTAGACATATTTAATTATTCATCCACTCTCCTTCAGATGATGGTGATTTATGCGAGCAATTCAACTCAATTCAGTCTACAATTCAAAAAAATATTGCCGGCGATTTAGAAAAAAACATCGTCTGAAGTTTCGAAGAGATTGGAGGATATTCGAACGCGTTACGCCTTCTAAAGACTTTTGTTTATGATCTCTGCAGATTTGTTTACTTTTCGTTTTTAATACTAGGAAAATTCCGTTTGGATTTGAAACTGATAATAAGGTAAACAAAAAATATTTATGTATTTGTAAGTTAAAAAAATCTTTTTTTGAAGTTAAGTTGTTTTTTAAAATACGATAAGATTATAATTTGTTTTCGTTAAAGAAATAGATGAACGAAATAGATAAATGCAAGGTATTGAAATACGCAAAATTATTGTATTGAATTGTTAAGGATTTTTTTATCCTTTTTATCAATATTAAGATGAGATTTTTAATGTCAAAGATATTTTTAATTAAAGATGAATTGTGTGATTTAAAGGGATCAAAAGTTTTTCTCTTTGAGAGATAAAGTAGTTGACAACCATTTTTTAAAGTCAGTTTTAAACTTTTGTGTACTTTCATTATTTAATTATTCTATCGATTATTCGTTTTTGAACATCACAACACTATTGAGGAAGTAATTTTTAGAATTTTTGCTCCCAGATATAAAAACTGAAATATCTTAAGAAAAACGTATTCATCAAAATTTTTAGAACATTTTTTTCTTATATGGCATTAAAAGTTTTGAATAATCTTGTAATTAAGGAAAAGACAGGATTTTAGAAAAGTATAATTAAAATTTTTTAGGCCTTTGCACTTATCTTCAAAAATCTATTTACTAATTCAGAGTTGCCACGCAACCTGGAAAATTGGAAAACCTGGAAATGTCAGGTAATTTTATAAACTTTGAAAAAACCTTGTAAAGTCAGGGATTTTCAATCGGAATCCTGGAAAATTGTTGTTTTCTAAAATTATTGTGTTTATTCTTGAAATCTAATTTCACTTAAATGTTTCAAAATTAATTCAATTTTAAAAGAATTGCGTTTACAATTCAATGATTTTTAATATCTACTACTTTAATAAAAATTCCTAAAAGAATTCAATTAGTTAAACAAAATTTTAATAAAATTCAACGGAAACATTCAATTATTTTCATAAATAATAAAACTTAATTATTTTTAATACAATTTTAATGGAATTCCTCGAAAAAATTTATTATTCTTAAAAATGTTATTATTAAAGAAATTTAATTATTTTAATAACCTTTGCTACAATTTATTTATTAGAATTTGAGTATTATTTTTAATGAATTTATAATTAAATTTCTTTAAAGAATAAAATAATTTTCAAAAGTTTTAATGAAATTCTTTGCCTAACAATTGAATTTTTTTCAAAATAATTTTAATAAAATTCTTCTCAGAAATGCAAGTATGTTTAAAAATTTACAAATATTCTTGTCAAAATTTTAATTATCTTTATAAATAATAAAATTTTTCTCAGCAATTCAATTATTTTCAAAACTTTTAATAAAATTCTTAGCAGAATTTCAATTATTCAATTGTTTAATAAAATAATTATTTTTATAGTTAAATAATTGAATTTTCATAGAATTTTCTAATAAATATTGATTTAAAAATGAATTTCAAATTAAAATCTTTCAAAAATTTTTTGTGCATGATTTATTGCACCCTAATTATTATGTTTCTTTATCTAATGTTTTATTCAATGTCGTTTAATTTAAGTCCCAAATTTAATAACCAATAATTGGTTTATTTTATTATTTATTATACTCGTTTTAAAATAGATGGTCCACTTTTTCGAACAAAAATATTTATAATGTAGTTTCTTGCTTTGTTAAGTACATATTTTTGTAGTTGGTAGTTCAAACGGTTTAAAGTTTTTCGAAATTCAAAATATCATAAAAATTTCCAATACAAAGTTTGTAATAAAGCAAAAAGCTTTTTACGTAATCGCTTTTTTAGTCTCTGTAATAATATCGAGTTTATCATTTTCGTTAAAAGTTAAAACCGGAATCTCATTTCTCGGAGGAAAAATTTCTAAGTTCTATGTCCAAAAGACGTCCCTAGGACGTCCCGAGGACGTCAATTGGACATTATACATTGCAATTTTTCAGTTACGCTTCTTCATCTTAAGTAAAAGGTTTTCCAAATAAAAAAATTGGTAATAAAAAGCTTTTTTCGAAAACCGTTTTAGTCTCTGAAATTATATATGAGTTTATCATTTTCGTTAAAAGTTAAAACTGGAATCTTATTTCTCGGAGGAAAAATTTCTAAGTTCTATGTCCAAAAGACGTCCCGAGGACGTCAATTGGACATTATACATTGTAATTTTTCAGTTAATCTTTTTCATCTTAAATAAAAGGTTTTTCAAATAAAAAAATTGGTAATAAAAAGCTTTTTTCAAAAACCGTTTTAGTCTCTGAAATTATATATGAGTTTATCATTTTCGTTAAAAGTTAAAACGGGAATCTTATTTCTCGGAGGAAAAATTTCTAAGTTCTATGTCCAAAAGACGTCCCGAGGACGTCAATTGGACATTATACATTGTAATTTTTCAGTTACGCTCCTTCATCTTAAGTAAAAGGCTTTCCAAATAAAAAAATTGGTAATAAAAAACTTTTTTCGAAAACCGTTTTAGTCTCTGAAATTATATATGAGTTTATCATTTTCGTTAAAACTTAAAACTGGAATCTTATTTATCGGAGGAAAAATTTCTAAGTGCTATGTCCAAAAGACGTCCCTAGGACGTCCCGAGGACGTCAATTGGACATTATACATTGTAATTTTTCAGTTAATCTTTTTCATCTTAAATAAAAGGTTTTCCAAATAAAAAAATTGGTAATAAAAAGCTTTTTTCGAAAACCGTTTTAGTCTCTGTAATTATATAGAGTTTGATATTTATATTAAAAATTAAAACTGGAATCTTATTTCTCTAAGGAAAAATTTCTAAGTTCTATGTCCAAAAGACGTCCCTAGGACGTCCCCGGGACGTCAGTTGGACATTATACATTGCAATTTTTCAGTTAAGCTTTTTCATCCTACAGGCCTCGGATATCTTGAAAAATTGTCAAAATTTCAATTATCTTTATAAATAATAAAATTTTTCTCGGCAATTCAATTATTTTCAAAACTTTTAATAAAATTCTTGGCAGAATTTCAATTATTCAATTGTTTAATAAAATAATTATTTTTATAGTTAAATAATTGATTTCTCGTAGAATTTTCTAATAAATATTGATTTAAAAATGAATATGAAATTAAAATCTTTCAAAATTTGAACTTTTCATATTTTTAATTAAGAATTCTATAAATTTAATTTTTCTCAATAAGTTTAATGTAATTTTTTTCAATATTTAAAGTTTTTAATTTCTAATATATTTAATTGAAGAATTTCAGAATAATCGGAATTTCGTAATAATTTTAATCAAATTCTTTAAAACGATTCAATTATTTTTATAAAAAATTAGAAATTCAATTATTTTCAATATCTAGTATTATCATAAAATTTCGCAAAATAATTCATAATAAAAAAAAATTTATTCAAAATTCAATTATTTTTATAAATAATAAAACTTCCACAGGAATTCAATTAATTTTGAATAGTATTTTAAAAAAATTTCGAAAAAATCTATTCTTTAACAAAATTGTTATACAATTTATAATTTAATTACTTTCACTAATAATAACATTTTTCATTAAATTTAAAACAAAAAAAGCACATATTTTTTGGAAATTCAATTTTTTAAAAAAGTTTTGATAAAATTCTAAGGAAAAATTCAGTTGTTCTCGAAAACTTTTCGCATTTAAATGTTTTTCTATATTATCTACTATTTTTATAAAATTTCCAAATAGAATTCAATTATTTAAAAAAATTTTTGTAAAAATCTTTGTAAGATTTCAATTCTTTTTATAAATAACAAAATTTTTTTATGAATTAAATTATTTAAATTAGAATTTAAAAACATTATTCCAAAGAAATGAATTATTTAAACATTTTTATAAATTCTTCGCAAAAATTAAATTATTTTTATAAATATTTAAATTCTTTCATGAAAATTAAAATTCCAGGAATTCAATTTATTAGCAGGATAAGAAAGAAGTAAATATTTTAGATAAAATTAAGGATAAAGTTAGGAAAATAAAATTTAGAATTATTATAAGGATATGAAAAAAAAGTTAATATTTTTTACGATAATCAGGCAAAGCGAAGGGGTAAATAAATAATCAAATTTTTGTGGGCAAATTTAAATTTTCTACTTATTAATTTTAAAGTTACTTTTTACTACTTTTTTAAAATTAAATTTTTGGTAAGGAGCCTACTGGTATACGTACGGGAAAAACGAGGAATTGAAAAAAATATCCGTGAATTTTTGGAAAATTTCGCTAATTCTTTAAAAATCTATAAAAACCCAGAGAAAAATATTATTTAAACAAAATATATTTTATTTGAGTGCGATTCCATGAGAGATCACATCGAACTAGCAGTTTCGAGAAGACAAGCCATGCTTATCGAGCTATGGGGGACATCCCAAACGTTAGTGTCGTGAAGAGCAGTCCAATCGACCTAATTGGGGGAACCAATCGAAATAGCAGTGTCGTGAAGAGCAGTCCAGTCGACCTAATTGGAGGAGCCAATCCAAGTAGCAGCTTCAGGGAGACGAGCCATGCTAGTCGAGCTAGAGGGACATCCCAAACGACAGTCGTGAAGAGCAGTCCAGTCGACCAAATGGGGGGAACCTATCGAAATAGCAGTGTCGTGAAGAGCAGTCCAGTCGACCTAATTGGGGGAGACAATCCAAGTAGCAGCTTCAGGGAGACCAGCCATGCTAGTCGAGCTAGAGGGACATCCCAAACGACAGTCGTGAAGAGCAGTCCAGTCGACCTAATTGGGGGAGCCAATCCAAGTAGCAGCTTAAGGGAGACCAGCCATGCTAGTCGAGCTAGGGGGACATCCCAAACGACAGTCGTGAAGAGCAGTCCAGTCAATTTAATGGGGGAGCCAATCCAAGTAGCAGCTTAAGGAAGACCAGCCATGCTAGTCGAGCTAGGGGGACATCCCAAACGACAGTCGTGAAGAGGAGTCCAGTCAATTTAATGGGGGAGCCAATCCAAGTAGCAGCTTAAGGAAGACCAGCCATGCTAGTCGAGCTAGAGGGACATCCCAAACGACAGTCGTGAAGAGCAGTCCAGTCGACCTAATTAAGGGAAGCAATCGAAATAGCAGCTTCCGGGAGAACAGCTTCAGTGACACTTTCAGGGAGGGCAGTCCAATTGATAGTTCCAGAGAGAGCAGTCCAATTGCTGTTGGTAATCCTAACGAGGGATTAAGAGAGGCAAATTCTGAAAACACTATCGCAGGTAATTGTTCTGCTTTCATATCTCTATCATTTATACTTTTTTGTGCATGATTTATTGTACCCCAATTACTATGTTTCTTTGTTCAATGTTTTATTCAATGTCGTTTAATTTAAGTCCTAAATTTAATAAGCAATAATTGGTTTATTTTATTATTTATTATACTCGTTTTAAAATAGATGGTCCACTTTTTCGAACAAAAATATTTATAATGTAGTTTCTTGCTTTGTTAAGTACATATTTTTGTAGTTGGTAGTTCAAACGGTTTAAAGTTTTTCGAAATTCAAAATATCATAAAAATTTCCAATACAAAGTTTGTAATAAAGCAAAAAGCTTTTTACGTAATCGCTTTTATTCTCTGTAATAATATCGAGTTTATCATTTTCGTTAAAAATTAAAACTGGAATCTTATTTCTCGGAGGAAAAATTTCTAAGTTCTATGTCCAAAAGACGTCCCTAGGACGTCCCGAGGACGTCAATTGGACATTATACATTGTAATTTTTCAGTTAATCTTTTTCATCTTAAATAAAAGGTTTTTCAAATAAAAAAATTGGTAATAAAAAGCTTTTTTCGAAAACCGTTTTAGTCTCTGAAATTATATATGAGTTTATCATTTTCGTTAAAAGTTAAAACGGGAATCTTATTTCTCGGAGGAAAAATTTCTAAGTTCTATGTCCAAAAGACGTCCCTAGGACGTCCCGAGGACGTCAATTGGACATTATACATTGCAATTTTTCAGTTACGCTTCTTCATCTTAAGTAAAAGGTTTTCCAAATAAAAAAATTGGTAATAAAAAGCTTTTTTCGAAAACCGTTTTAGTCTCTGTAATTATATAGAGTTTGTCATTTTTATTAAAAGTTAAAACTGGAATCTCATTTCTCGGAGGAAAAATTTCTAAGTTCTATGTCCAAAAGACGTCCCTAGGACGTCCCGAGGACGTCAATTGGACATTATACATTGTAATTTTTCAGTTAATATTTTTCATCTTAAATAAAAGGTTTTTCAAATAAAAAAATTGGTAATAAAAAGCTTTTTTCGAAAACAATTTTAGTCTCTGCAATTATATATGAGTTTATCATTTTCGTTAAAAGTTAAAACTGGAATTTTATTTCTCGGAGGAAAAATTTCTATGTAGACACCCGTTTCAGAAAGAACTTGTTTTTTCTTCTTTTTTCTAGTCTATACTTTTAACAAACAAAATATCTTCATATTTCTGAAATATTTAAATAAATAAAAAGTAATTAAACAATTTGGTAAAAATTTGAAAATTTTTAAAGTGCATACAATGCAGGGTGTCTACTGATCCTTGAAGTCCTGGAATACCTGGAAATGTCCTGGAATTTGAATAAATGTCCTTAAATGTCCTGGATTAAAAATTTTACTCAATTTTAAAAAAATAATTTTTTTGAGCCATCAAAAAATAATTTCAATTTGTCATTTGATTAAAGAAACTGGTATCTATACAATATTCATTTTTAACTTTTTTTATAATAAAATAAATATTTTTGTTTAAGTATAGGTTAATTTAAATTATTTTAAAATCGTAATATGAAATAATATTACACATGGTTGCCACAAAATTTTAATTTTATTTTTCCCTGATTTCCAGACAAAATTTTCAGGTTTTTCCTGACCCTGAAGAACATTAATAACTTCTTTTTTAAAATAAATATTTAATCATTATTATTTTTCTTTAGGAATTTATATTCTCAAATTCAATACCTAACTTACGAGAATATTATAATAAATTTAAGATAACAAAGTAATAAAATCATTATTTTATTTCATAAGAATATTGTAACTAAAAATTCAAATTTTCAAAGATTTTAAATTAAATTATTTTTAAAATTAAATTAATTCTAAAAATTCACGCTATAATGTTTTTAATATTCAATTATAATTTAAAATTTTAAGAGAAATTCATTTTTGAATAAATTTTTATTAGAAAATTTCTTCAGAATTCAATTACTAAAATACAAAAATAAATAATTTATTCAGTAATTACATGTTTTACAAAATTGAATTTTTATGAAGAATTTCATCAAAATTTTTAATAGCAATTGAATTTTTTCAGCGAATTTTATAAAATTATAAAAAATCTTTATTAAGAATTATTTGAATTCCTGTGAAGAATTTTATTTGTAAAAATAATTGAATTTCAGATAAAAATATTATTTATGAAAATAATTAATTTCTTGTGAAGAATTTTACTCAAATTTTTTTAAATAATTGAATTTTTCAGAATTTTTAAAAACTCTTTAAAAATAGTTAAAATTTAATACAAAATTAAAAAAATTTTTTAAATTATTTAATTCCTGTGAAAATGTTTATTTTAAAAAAAATTGAATTCTTGGGAAGAATTTTATTAAAATATCTTAAATAATTGAATTGTTTCGAAGAGTTTTACAAAAATTTTTGACAATAATTGTATTTATAGAAAAATGTTGTTTTTTACGAAAATAGTGATATTCTATGGCCGATTTTATTGTAATTTTTCAAATTTATAGAGCATTTTATCAAAATTTTTAAAAATAATTGAATTCTCAAGAAAAAAAATAATTGATTTCTGGCGAAGGATTTTATTCAAATTTCTTTAAATAATTGAATTTCCTTAAAAATGTAATTTTGTGAAAATAATTTAATTCTTAAGGTGAAATGTTTTGTAAATAATTGAATTATATAAGAAAATTTTGTTAAAATTGCAATTTAATGAACTAAATCTTGTAAAGAATTTCGTCAACTTTTATTTAATTAATAGAATTATTAAGGGTGTTCGATCAAGAAAGGTATTTAAAAATGGCGGTCAGAAGTTATACTTTTTTTGATACGAATGTTTATCGTAATTGACACATTGATAGTAATTTGAAAAGAATCAGCCGGAATTTTGAAAATTTTTGCTTTAATTTGAGTCTAAGAAATTGAAGATTGTTTAACATATATGCAACAATAGGAAGTAAACTAAGAGATTTCTATGTACCTGGTGGGTGATGCCCTCTGAAGATATTTTTTAATAGCACTAATTTGTTTATATTTCGCTTGTGTGGTTCTAGTTTACTTCCTATCATTCTATTTATGTATAAATGTTTAATTTATTAGAAGAAAATGAAAGTACAACCATTCAAGATTCCGGCTAATTTTTTAAAAATTGTGATAAATGTCTCAATTGTGATAATAATCCATTTCAGATGAAGCATAAGTTCTGGCAGCCATTTTTAAAGGTTTTTCTTGTTCGAACACCCTTAAAAGATTTTTATTTAAATTTTTTGAAATATTTGAATTTCTGAGACTATTTTTTCAATTTTTCTTTATATAGGGTAAACGTACCAATTGTCGAGGATGGTTCCTGTTGTCGAGTAAACAAACTTTGAATTTTATTTAAACAGTGTAGCACATTGAAAATGAAAAAAAGTAATAAATATTAATTTTTTTATGCGTTATAAATGTAAAAAAAATATATTAATATTATATAAACAAACAAATGAGACATTTTAGACAATATTTTTTGGTTATTACCATGGTAACATCGACAAATGGAACACCCTCGGCAATTGGTACACTTACCCTATTTAAATTTTTTCAAAAATTTCATGAAGGGTGCAGTCTGGGTCTTTTGCACGTATTTTGAAGAATTTTTTTTATAGTGAAATTCATTTAAACATTTCTAAATTTTTACATATTATTACACGTATATTAAAATAAAAATAAAATTTTTCTTTATGTATTTTTTGTTGTTAATAGCGAAGAAATGGAGACTGTAAAAAAAATCTGAAAAATCTGGTTGACATGATATCTTCAGTCAGAACAAACAGAATCAAAAAATTCAAACGGATTATTAAAATATAGGTAAATGTTTACAGCTGGAACTAAAATAAAAAATTTGCATTGAAAAATAACAAAATGGCGGACTTTCTACTTTTTCAACGCTTCTTTTGCAACTAAAATTGTTTAAAAAATAGGTTAAAAATTATTTAAAAATTATGATTTTAGTTCAGGCTGTAACCATTTACATACATTTTAATAAACCGTTTGAATTTTTTGATTCCGTCTGTTCTGACTGAAGATATCATGTTAACCAGATTTTCGAGATTTTTTTTTACAGTTGGCCATTTCTTCGCTATTAACCCTCTGCCTACGCTGAGTTATCCCCACTCTAGCGCTTTTAAATGTAATTCCCATAGTCCCCACCAGGCGACCGAATTGTCGTTTTTTGTCGATAACGGTCACTTGAGTAGGCAGAGGGTTAACAACAAAAAATATAAAAATAAATTTTTTTTATTTAGTTTAATATATCTGTAATATGTAAAAATTCAAAAATGTTTAAATAAATTTCACTATGAAAAAAAAAATTCTTCAAAATACGTGCAAAAGACCCAGACTGGCCCCTTAAAAGATTTTAAATAATTAAATTGATACGAAGAAATTTATAAAAGAAATTAGTACCTAAGTAATTGAATTCCTGTTAAATTTTTATTAAAATTTTGTTTAAATAATAGAATTCTTTTGGAAAATTTTATTTAAATGGATCTCAAAAATAATTGAAATGAGGAATAATTTTGAAAATAATTGAAATTTTGCCAAGAATTTTATTAAATTTTTTGAAAATAATTGAATTTTGGAGAAGAATTTTATTATTTATAAAGATAATAGAAATTTTGAAGAGAATTTTAAAAAACTTTTAAACCTAATTGAATTCATG